TTTTATTCTCTTCATATATATTGGATATTATTAGCAAAGACTAGAATCCAAGCAGTGCATCTTTTATAACTCCTTTACAGTAAAACATAGTTACTGAAAATGTCTGTGTGTGGGGCTGTCTCTGTTATACTGCACAGGGGGTGTTTCAGTGCCACAGAACCACTAATTCAGCAGCATTTGCATTTTCTGAAATACGGAATTCTATGTTGCAACTGGAGAAGTACTGAGAAGAAAAACTACAAAAAGGGTTCTTTGTGGTATGGTGTTCCCCAATGTGCTGCATATTCCTGTGGTTGGTAACAGGATCTCTGCTAGATGGTGCATATTTTTAATTTTTAAATGGTATTTGAAAATAGAGACCATTTTCTTGTAAAAATTATATGCTGTACATTGTACATTCATACTATATGGAAAACTCTGGTAAAGCAGCTGAGTGGGCATCCCAGGATTTCCTCACTGGACCAAGTGGAGAACAGAGAGTAGCAGTACATTCTTGGATTTTCTAAGAAACTTGTTCTTCCTGTTTAAACTGTCATTGCAGAAGAGTCCAGAAGGCATCACCATTTTGCTTGGAAGGACCAAGATAGTAGAAGAATGATAGGACAAACAGAAACTTAAAGTATATGTAAAGACTCTTCTAGAGATAGGAAAAGAAGTTGTTCCTTCCTGAGGTATATGAAGGACACACAGTCTCTGTACTGCAAGGGAGGTTCCCCAGAATGTAGCCATGTGTAAGAGGTAGCTCTGTGTCACTAACCGCTCATCCTTTGGGATGTACATTTGCTTTTCTTGTCACTGGCACTGTTCCTGATACTGATGCTTGTCAGTTTGGTCTGCACCCAGGCACTGGCATGAGGTTATATCAGCACCTCCTGTGCAGGAAGGGCTTAACCTGAATTTTTTGAAGGCAGTGGCTTCATCCTGGGAACAGACTAGTCTTCACTCCAGAACAAATAGAAGAAAGAAATATTCTAAATCTTCCCAAAAGGTATTATTCAAATATGTGGAAAGGCTCCAGTCACTACAAATTATCTAACTGAGAAGCCAACATCAAAATCACTGATAGTCCTGGGACTCAGTCTCTCTTACAGTCAAGCCCTTCCTGAGTCTCTTCCTGATGAAGTTTTCTTGCCATACAGTGAGGTTCACAAACAGCCTCTTCAATGCTCTTCCTTCATATGCATGTCCTAGTCTCACTCTCCTCATCAATAAATATTAAAATCTTCTCAGAATTATCCCAGATGGGATAAGACTGATAGAGGGCAGGGGAGAAATTTAAAAAAAAAAAAAAAAAAGATAGTTATATGGTGACCTGGAAGAGCAGCAAGTCCCTCTTCAAAGAGGGTGGTGGGATTCATGCATTTGTTTTCAAAAAGAAGAGACATGATATCAAATACATTAAAATGAAGAGTCTTGTGAAATACTGACAATACTCAAGTTTACAACAGCCATGATGCCTCTGGATGGGGAAGAAGCAGGGAGGAAGGAGATCTAGGCTGTGATTCTAAGGACCTGTATTGGAGCATATATCTTACAATTCTGCAACAGACTGCAGAGAATAGACCAAGCACAACTGATCCAGCGTTCAAAGATGTAAAGAGATGTAAATTAATCTTTTTTATTTAAAGCATAAATAGTAAAGCACTGAAGCATTTCCAGTAGTGTGTCTGCCCAAAATAAACCACAGAACCGCTGCATATTTTCCCTTGAGAAAAGGGAAAGAGTACTTGCTTCTGATGGCAACACACTTCCTAACATGAGGTTTTGCAAGAAAAAATATATCATGTCAAGATACTTTTGAGCTGTCCTGCCTCCTCAATTAAAATAAAAAAAACCTTCTTATCATTATACCTGTATTCAATCTCTGGGGAGACAGTCCAGAAGGAAGATTGCATTACTTCAGCTGGGTACTGAAATCTCTGTAAGCAGCCCCTTACCTCTTTGACATCTCCTTTTAGATGTCTTGTCAGAGTCTCTGCCTCTGACATGTCTTTGCAATGTCTTTTGTAGTTGCTTTAAATGGAACATGACCAAAAATTAGGTTCTCATCCTTCCCTATTTCCCTTTTATTGTTATCAACAGTGCTATTATCATCTCCGTCTCTCAGCAGTCTGCATGTTCATAGTTACACTTCTGAATGTTTTACTTGCCAGAATTTGTCTGGTCAGATCAACAAGGTTTTTGTCACTGCTCTAGAAGTAATTAGGAAGGACAGATTTCTCAGCAAGAGAGAGGCACACAAGCAAATCTAGACGTGTGTTAGAATCCATGAAGGTTACTGCTTAAAGGGATAAGATTTTTAGTAGGGCAGTAGAGCCCAACAGAGGGAAAAAAATATTTCTCTCTGTGCTGTTTTAATTTGTATTGAAACTATTAATAGCCCAGGTTTTTCTCATTTCCTGTATTTTTCCCAGTGTGTTGTCCCTTTCTGCTTCTGCTCCCACCAGATTGAAAGAAAGAGTTATTTGTTGTCTTTAGAAAAGTCATTTGTCCTGTATCACAGTATTTGATTTCCTGGCACCTTTTGCTCAGCTCCGTGGTTCACAGTGGGAATAATGTTGTGTGTCAGTGACCCCATCATATTATAGTTCAACACTGAAATTCTTTCAGGTATGCAGGAGAGGGAGAACTGCTAAGCATTCGATGTTGCACTCTCCCACAAAGAGCACTCTCTATTTCAGCCCATCATTTATTTAACATTTGACAGCCTCCAAAAGGAAGGGAGGGTTATCCATGCACTTAAATGCATCCTGGAAAGGTGAGATTCAGCCTGTATTACTGTTAGACAATCTTTAGATCCACCTCATTTGCCTAATTTCTGCTAGTATTTTAATAATTTCAAAAACAACTCCTGCAGAAGTCCTGCTTTCATCCTGTTCTGTTTTGGAATGCAGGCTCCAGTATTCAGCCAGAAATGAATCATTCATTGTGTCCAGAGAAGGTATCCCCTGACTTTGCTCCTCTGGCCCTGAGACAGGGCCACACCATACTGCTTTGATTTGGGCAGGGACTTGGGACTTAGAGCAGAAGGGTTGGTGTCAGGGAGCTGCAGCCTCAAAAGCAAAATTCCCAGGGAGTTTTTGGGTGCTCCATTCTCAGGTAGTGCTGATGCACACACTTTCTATGTTACACTAGAGCTTGTGTCCACCTGAGTCCTCAGGCAATGTTCTCCTTGGCAATGACATTTCTGCTTGTCCTGGATGAACTCAAGTATCCTGTTTCTTTTATCATTACCAAGATCACTTGAAGCTCAGCTGCCATTCTCTGTTTCATATCTGGAGGGCACCCACCAATGTGATATTTCCAGCTGACTAGTGCAAAATAAACTTCTTTTCTGTTTTCTGAGAGTCAGGAACTTCTAAATTACCATCTCTTCTAAACTGCTGCCTTTGCCATGGATTACCTCTGTGACTTTATTTTAATTATTGCATCAAAAACATATTCAAATAGCTGTGTCAAGTTTATCATCAGGACCGCATAGTGCTGTTCTTAATATACTAAGATAATTATTGAGAGACTAAATATTTTTCTTCCATATAGCACCTGTGCACTGATTTGAGAATTTTGATAATTTTACATGTTCTGCTTTTGAGTTCTTGTGAATTATATGAGATTAATTATTAAAAACAAATATGAATATAGAGTAATTTCAGATGTTTAATATCTGAAGAAATAATAGCACAATTTCATTGAAGATATATAATTTTCAAGAAAGTAGCTTAAAATAGGAAATATTTCTTTATTGACATTTATATTAAAATATGTTACTTGATTTCTGTTTGTTTCAACTTCGATTAGAAATGCTAATTCAAATAAATTTGAGCTGAGAAAACAGTTTTGAAAACTGGCAGTAAAAAAGAGATCCGGAACCATCACTGAATAGGATATGGGAAAATTAATGCCATCCTTCTTAAAGCAGGTCGAAAATGAAAGCCTGAATGAATATTAGCACTATTCTTTAAAAACATGCAATACAATATTCATTAAGTTTTGATCAAATGTTTTACAAATGGAAGATGATTCAGATCTTTTTTATAAACTGTTTTTATTATAAGAGCATTTTACTATTAGATGATTTGTCTTGCTAGGAAAATACTCTCCTCTTATTACATTCAGATTAGACTGAGACTTTGCTGAGGAGATTTTGAGATTTTGGTTTTTGGTTTCCTAGAGCTGTCCAGGATAACTTTCCTGGTTTCACAGGAACAAATGCTGTATTGAGTGTTTGCCATGGGAAGTTGGAGAAGGCTATTATCAAACTCTGAAAAAAAAGATCCTGAACTTCTGCTTTATAATAACTTTTTAATACAGTATCAGAAAGATGCAAAAGATCTGCCTGGAGACTGACATTTAGCTATTGTGCTCTTTTAAATTAAATGACAGCTCACAGAGGCGTTCCAGGGCTAGGTGTAGAATCCTGTTATTTAAACATTGTCAAAGCTTGGGTTTAATTAACTCTAATTCAGTGTAGTTTCCCCATCCTTGCATACTCTTTCTGTCTTTCTTTCAGTCCCTCTCTGTCTTTTCTTTCTGCTGGCCTTGAAAGGCTTCGGGCACCTGTCAGGGTTTCAGTGGGATTTCAAATGCCTTCATGCCTGTTGCTGGGTGGAAGGGAAGATTATGTCCTGACAGAGCAGCAGTGAAGCATTTCATTGTCAGCTGGGAGATTCGGGTTGCAGGGTAAAGCTGGAGTGCTAAGCCCTGGGCTGGCTGGGGCTCTTTGTGCTCCAAATGATGTATGGTGGATTCTGAGGCAAACAGAGACACCTTGCCTTGCTGATCAAAAACGTGGAGGACACATTTGGACTTTCAGAGCCAGAGTGAACAGGTAATTTGTCAACTTCACCATCAAATGAGGTGGCAGAAGTTGCCATGTGCCTGTCCTGGAAATCACAAAATCATAGAATGGTTTGGGTTGGAAGGAATGTTAAAAATCATCCCTTTGCCATGGACAGAGAACCTCCTACTAGACCAGGTTGTTCAAAGCCCCATACAGCCTGACCTTGAACACTTCCAGAGATGGGGTATCAACAACCTCCCTGGGCAACCTGTGTCAGTAAATAATTTTACCAACCTCACCAACCTTCACAGTAAATAATTTCTTCTGAATATCCAATCTAAATCTACCTTCTTTCATCTTAAAGTAATTCTGCTTGTTCTAAATGCCACAGGAAGGGCTTTGGTGCCAGCGTGGTCTGCAGCTCTGGGATAGCACCATACTGAGGATCACAGCCCAACTCTGACAAGGATAAGCAACAACTCCTAAGAAAATCAGCCAGTATCATGTGTCAGGGGATGGGAAAACCTTCAAGGATTGGGGTGGCACAAACATGTAAGGAGATCAGAGTCTTAAGCTGCCTTTCATTCAGTGCTCATTCAGATTACTATTTTTTGGCAGAAGTAGCTCAGATTAAAGACAACCATTCCTGAATGCTTTTAAAGAAATAAATGGCTGTCTATGCATACCTAGCTCTCACCTCTCCTTGAAATGCTACTGCAGTTCCTCAGTCTCTATGGATATATGAATTATTAGTCTATTTCTCCAATGTGATCTTGGATGACAAATATTCCTAGGCGCTGAATGGCAATTTTGTAATGAAAGTTACACTAGAATAGGCCAGGAACCAAACAGTACCCATTAAGGTTTGCTTTTATGTAACCACCATTCAAAAGCAGTCATCCAGCCTTTGGGTGATAACAGTTTTCCACCTCAGTTATGCCCAGTTCAACAACCTGGTTGTCTAAAATAAACCCTAAATTTCCTCCTCTTTCTATTTGAATCCCATTTTCCTCTCTGCATTCAGTTCACATTCTTTTTCTTTCAGAGCTTTCAGAGCGTTTATGGCTTCAGAAGCCTCTTCAGTTTATCGCAGTGACTTCCCAAATAGTGCAAAGTCACCTGCTGATTTTCCCCAGACCAGGAGACCTCTTTTTGTCCTAATCAGCTCCCAGCATGTGCATGGTGTCCTTCATGCCACTATCTCCTGTCCTGGGTGCTTCCTGGCCACTGAGGGCACTGGGGGCACTGCTCAGCAATCTCTGCCTTTTGGTAGATGAGCATCAACCCAGCTGGATCAAAGGAATTGAAATATGTGGACAGGTAATCAAAGCTCATCAGCTCCCCTTCCTTTGTACTTAGTAGGGATAGATGGACAATCCTGAGGGAAACCCAGATGTGCTGGAACAGATGTCCAAGGAAGCAAGGAGACTACCCCACTGGAGCAGCCTGTTTCTGTCTGCAGAAGGAGCCCGGAGACCAAAATTAAGGCCAAATGCCTTTTGCACAGCTAAATGTAGATTTGATAAATTTCATCCCAAAATATATACCCGCTGTAAAAATACGCAAGTGTGTTTATCCCAATTTAATTTTAATAAGCAGTGTTTTGAGGAGTGCTCTCCTGTCCTCTACCTGAGGGACTGGTGAGGAAAGCAATCTCATCCTCAGCCGTCTGCTGCAATGCTAACAGGGGTGGACTGAAACAACTGCCAAAGCTGACACATCAAAGATCTTTCTAGCTTTTCACAGCCATGAGAAAAGACAACCTACTCAGATGTTTTCCTTATTTTTTTCCAGATTTTCCAAGAATAGCCCCCTTCTCATTTAAGAATAAAAGAAAAAATATTTTAATAAAGCTAATGCCATTATTTTTCTATCATTCAAGGAGCACTGTGATACTTCCTATTAAAAACATTGACCCACCTGGGGTACCATTAATAGTGGAAAATCAGACAGAGTTAACACTAAATTGCCAATGCATGTATAGTGTATATATGAAATTATAAACTTGAAAATGGGTGTGCAAAATACACGTGAAATTGATAAAAGGGCAAAAGGTCTCTTACTTCCCAGTCTAGTAGAAATGAATAGGCATGTACAGAACATTGTTCTCCTCTGCTGGCTTTTAAGGCACAAAAAGCAATTTGAGATGTAGTCTTGCTTTAATGCCATTTTGATTCCTGCCACAGTAATGTCAATGCCTTCCGTGTATGTATGTAGACATATACATAACATTTCAATGAAAGAAACTTAGTTCAGTTCTGGTTAAAAATGTCTTGTTGTGTTGCTATTATTAATGCAAACCCTAATTTTTTTTTATAGTTCCATGAAAAAAAATGTATTTCAAGTATATTGGTGAAGTTTCCACTCAACCCATGATGGCCAATGCTTGGGGCCATGTGTGATGCTAGGCTTTAGGTGCCAGGAGAGTGACTTAGTGCAATTGAGTTCAAGGGTCAAACTGCACTTTACTGTGCCATGAGCCTTTGTTGTTACAGGTCCTAGTGCAGACTAGTTATCCCTGTGATCCTTTGGGAATGCTGGGCTAGCGATGCTCACACACCACCACACTGTGCTGGGCTGTGGTTCTGTCATGTCCTGGCTCCTTTGGAGACCTGGTGTTGCTGCCCTACACTCCCTTGCAAGGTCTGGAAGTGAGGTGCTACAGGCACAAGCTCTGGGGCTGAGTACCTCGAGCATCACATCACTGGGAGTATGAACCACTTCCATCTCAGAGGAGGTTGAGGGGGCAGTTCGTTTTGTGAACTCAGTGCTTTGATTAATCTATTCAAATATTAACATGCCTGGTGAGGTAGACCAAAATATCCTCTGGATTTATAAATATTCATACGCTAACATCTGCCACATCTGCATAGTTATAACTCTGTTTTCATGGGAGGAAAAGCGTCTCTTTGAGGAAGGTCCAAAGTAGCAGAGGGTTTCTCTCATCATACCTGTCACTTAGCAAGTTGTGTAACTTTTAAAGATCTCTTACACTTGCATTATTTTAGAGTTAGCATGGTCTACAAGGATTTAACTCCATAATAACTGTTTTAATGCTCCTGGATCATTTTTACTATGTGTATGAGCCTAGTATATGTTTTTTACAACATAAAACAGCCTTTGATCATTTGCAGTCTGATTTCTGCCACTGGCACAGTCCTGAAACAGCTACGCTTTGCACAGTTAATAGCGTCAGATTTTCCTTATAGTGTTGACCTCTACCTTGGCTGCTAAAAAACATGCCTTCTATTTTCTGTGGCTTGGCACAAGCCTTCAAAACTCCCATGTCCTTTCTTTTTCTTTTTTTCCCCCCTCTCTTTTGTTTTTTTGGGGTTTTTTTCCCTTGCTTTACAGTTTTACTTATTTATGGTTATTCTGCTCCAAGATGTCTTTTCACTAGGTTTACTCCTAGCTTTGTTCATTTGAATTTTGCCTCTAAGTCTACTTGGCCTTCTTCTTCCAAGAATGAAAGAAAATAACGCAAGAGTATAATCAGCAGCCTTGTTTGTCAGTATATTCCCAACAAATCTACAGCAGGTGGCTTGCTAGTTACTAAAAAAAAAAAATCACTTTTTTAAAAGTTTGTCATACGGGAAATCTTTGTTGCTTCCTAATTTTTAGGCATAGGGAAGTAATTGTTTTGGTGCACCACCAAGTAAGTGGGTCCACAGTAACCATATTATCTTTTTGTTTTCGAAAAGGACTTGAAAAGATTGTTCCTCAAGTAGATTCAAATTGAGTCCTTTCTTGAATGTCTTTTTTTTTCTCCTTCCAGAAGCTCTATTAATACTGTACAGTTGTTTTTAAGGAGTTGGTTTTTTGGTTTTTTTCCACTTATTCAATGAATACTAAGGATCACAAAATAATGATTTGGACTACTTCTTGGGTCCCTCAACTACACTACAGAGGACAAAACCCATAAGAATAACTAGAGTTTGCACTTCCAAACTTCCTGAGCTCTGAATTTGACTTCTTTTACTTGAGCCAGTATTAAAGATTGGTGTGAAAATGATGTAAAATTTGTGTGATTAAGACAAGAATTGTATGGTCCCCTACAAAAGGGGATGTCTTGCTTTTATGTGAGGTTGTCGTGGCAGACTATTCCCTGGAGAACAAGCAGAGATTTGAAGCTCTGATGAATGGCTGTTTTGCAGAGTAGGTTCTTGCCTTCCTGCTCTATCTTTTTAACCTTTGACATTACTTTGGTTAGTCAAAAGCAGTTTGATCCTGTTATTTCAAAAGAAATCATTGTTTGTCTTTATGACAAATTACAGATAGGTTAAATTTTCAAGAGCTGTTAAGTCCCAGGCTCAGAAGTTATTTAGGCATTTTGAAAAATGTAATCTACATATTCTGTGGTTTTGTTGGAGTTTTTTTTCATTTCTTAGAGTTCTTGCAGACAAGGACCCCAGAGCTGCTGCTTAACCTTCAGTTTTATTTTACATTTACAGCATTATGAATCTTTAAAAATAAGTTGCAGCCTACCCAAATTACACTTCAGTTGAGCAATTTGGTGTCCTCAGGAATGCGCTGAATTATCTTAATCACATTCTCAATGATATATTACTACCTTTAAAAATTATTGCTAGGAGAAAATCACAAGGAGCTGAAGAATATAAGTGTGACAGTTAAAAAAAGGAAGCCTAAAGAAAAGCCAAGACATAAGTTAAGCTCACTAGAAAATTCACCTTAAAAATCAGGAAATCAAGAAACAGTGTTTCTTTGGTGGTAATGCAAGTGTGTCTCTATAACTGTAATTATTATACAGTAGAGCCATGGGGACCAAAATCTGCTCTCAGTTGAACGGGTGTGTTGATTTAGAGCTGGGAAATACTCAGTGCCACTTAAAAAGGCTTTGTGTCAGTTCAACTCCACGAGACAATGCACAGCCACACAGCTGAAGCAAGCTCTGATTATGGATAAGTAGGTACTGCTTGATGGAGTATTGACAGTGTCTTCAGTAAAATAAATTGTCCTTGAAACTATTTTTTCTGTAAAATGCCATTTCAATCAGTTTTTTCCCAAACCACACTAATTAGAAAAGTCATTTAACCATCATTAACAAGGTACATATTTCTAGAATTTGTTATGAGAAATGATGTTATTTCAAAATGTATTTTATATTTGTTATCCAGTTTAATGAAATTTAAATAGCAGGTTGATATGATAGTTCATTAAGATGTAAAATGGTCAAATACACTATTTTCATTTTAGAATGTCATGCTTTTAATTATGTTGTTGCTATTTAGTACTATAAAAACGTCCTATTTTCTAGGTCAATGTTTCATATTTGTGTTATGATTAAAACAGGTTGACATTTTGAATAAAAAATATACTAATTCATTGTATTAATTAAAAATAATGACCTAGAAAAAGCATTTCCAAACTAACCTAAAGACGTCAGCGCTGTGAGACATGACAGTTGTGCCATATTGCCACTATTAATGACATTTTCTACAGCAAAGTAAAAATGTGCATACAAAGAGAAAAAAAATTAAATTAAGAACTATTTTCATTTTTAAAACTCTGTCCATGAAATCTTCAGTCCACCAAAGGGGTCACAGGTACTTGGAAAGACAAAACCATCTTTTGAAATATTGACATTTCATGTGAAACATAAAGGGCAGCTTTTGCACAGGTAGATGTTTGTTCTTCAATACATGTTGGCCTTCTGCTGTCGGAGCAGGGAGGGCAAGTACACGAGAGGTGAAATCACAAAGCCCTTGAAGTTTAGCTGTAGATTTTTAATGAGGTTATTCCCAGGGTTGTTAATTTGTACACATAAATTGCTATTTCCACATACTTAAGTAAAAATACCACCATTTTCATTATAAGTGTGTGTGTAAATGTATGGTTTGGAGACGAGACAAAATGAATGAAATTGTAATAATTACCTCCCCTGAAACTGGTTCAGACACACAGCACACGCTGGTTAGAGCCATCAGGTTCTAATGTGTCATAGGGCCAAAATATCACTGAAGGCAAAGTCAATGATCACTAACTGTGTTCCTGAGGAATGCAAAATAAAAATTCAAAAGGCCACTTAAAATAAATGGCGGCTGTTTCATTTGCAGTCCTGTATGTTCCTTTTTGGGGCTTCCATCACTGAGTTTAAGGCTGCCCTTTGTAAGGACCTCAGAGGAAGCCCTCCCCTAACTTGGTTCTAAGTCCTGGTTTTGTGTGTGACACGTCAGTGAAGTGGCCTATGGATGAACATCTGTCAATTCCCATCAAGAATCTTCTATCTAAATTAAATCATCTTATTTTCTGTTTGCCTAAAGCTGTAACATATTCCCTCCCCAGAATCCTCATGGTTTCAACAATAGTTTTCACAGATACCTCCCAGCCCTCCACATTTCTTACATTTCACTGTCTTTAATGCCCACATTCAAAAGTGGAAACAGTAAATGCTTTCCTGTGTACGTGGCTTTTCAGATCAGTGCAGGTGGCTTTATGGACCCCTGTAAACCTGCAAACTACTGTTGGGCAGCTCTTGTTCTAGATATTCCGGTCATTAGCAAGAAAAGCTGCGAGTACTTTAAATTAAAATAGATCTTTGATTTCCCACTAGGACATCCAGAGAAGAAATTCACTTCAATTCTTTTGTGAAACTTTACAACTTTGTCTTCCCAGTGCGGGCAGGAGCCCTGGTGAGGCTGTCATTTGAACTGGAGCTGTGTTGCAGCCTCTTTTGTTCTCTGCTCTCCTCAGATGCCGGCTCGCTGCCTGCTGGCGTGCCGGAGCGAGCGGGATGACTTGTGGTGACAGCTGTAAAGTTGTGGATGGGAGCAGAGAGAGGAAAAAAGCCCTTGTTCAGTTAGGAGGGGTTTTATATCTCTCTGTTGCCATAACTACACAGAAGGAGAAAAACATGCTTCTTTCATGCTTGTCTAGATTCAAAATTGCCTGTTGTTATCCTTTCATAGGTTCAGCACCTTTGCGGGTTGGTTTGTAGTAGCATTTTCGGGTTATGAAATGATTGTGAAATTTGTATATTGCCTTCCCAGTTGAAATTTTGACTTAATCACCATGTTTTCTGAGGTGTTCCTTTGTTTTCGTTTGTTTCTGAAATGTCTTAGCCAAGTCTTATCAACCATCTTCATTATGTGAAAGCCATTCAGCTCTCAAAATAGTCTTTATAAGCTTGCTTAATTCTTAGAGAGCCCATAAATTTTAATACTCATTAAATAAATCTGTGTCCTTTAATCTCAACAGACTTCTTAAAAGTGTCTCTCTTTTTTTTTCTTTTTTCTTTTTTTTTTAATTCTGAGTTTGGTAAGGCAGCTAGTTAAGTAATCCTGATAACTTAATTCTCTATGAATAGAAGCAACATTTGCAGTTAAATTGTTTCTTACATTATCAGCTAGCTATGGCTCATATTCTCTTGCCATACTGTAAAACCCCCTGCTCAGGCAACATGGAGACTAGGAAGTGACTTTACTAGGATTTATACAAAAATACTTAATAATAACAGAAATATCTTCCAAGAAGTTTCCTTAAAAACAAAGGTTTAAAAATCAAGGTTTTACCCTATTACCAGAGAACATTAGTTAGGCAGAAGTGAGTAGGACATTTTACAAACTGTTTCCTAAACAGCTGCAATAATGTTAGACTTTGAAAACTTTACAGTGATTTAAAATGTAGGAGAAAAAAAAAACAATTATAAAGTCTTTCACATCTTCAGGACAGACAGAATCTAGAGAGTTGAAATTATTGTAAGTAGGATGATGTTCAGAGGAAATCTTGACACAAATTATGGCTTTTTTAACATAAAATACCATGTTCTTAAAGCTCAGGGGACCCAAAAACTAGCTTATTTATCTTTTTTTTCCAAACCTGTAGTCATTTATGATTCTCAGGTAAGTTAACAGCCCTGTATTTAACTACTACAATAACTTCTGTAGTCGTGAATAGTCATGATTGCAGTCCCCCACACCTGCTGAAGCTACACAGCAGGGAACCAGTTGCTGAAATGGAGTTGTTGGATTGCAGAATACCCCAGGGAGGGCCTAGATTTGACAGAGAACATTTTCCCTCTGTGTTTTTTTTTTTAATTATTATTTTTCAATATTTGATTACACTTATCTGTTCTGATAGTGTAATGAATCACTAAGACTTACTGTGGGGACACACCAAAACAACCAGTTCTCTATGATATGAGATGTCCACTGGATCAGGAAATAGTGTCACATGCATTTAACCCTGTACATAATACACGCCTGGTACTAAAACATCCATGGAGTATATAGGCCTAAATACTGAGATTTAATACTTTGTTATTTATAGATGATGTATAATATTTTCTGAAAGGGTGAGATTTCAGTGCCCAAGATTTGAATACTTTTATTTGCTTTCATGAGACATCCTGTACAGCAGTTATGTGCATGCTAGAAAATACGTGCATTACCACTGTCTAGTAAAAACGTATTTCAAAGACTTACGTTGATTACACTTACATACATTTTATGAAAAGCTTAAGCCCTGCCCCTGTTGAAGCTGGACAGCACAGCTTTGTTTACAATGGGCAGAGGAGCAGCCTCATCCTTGCTAATTAATGTATGTTAAATGCTTTGAAGTCTTTGATTGTCAGATGTTATACCTTAGAGTTGTGGTATTTCGGGGTATGGGGGTTTTTTGCTCTAATAGATGCAATTTGCTCTGGATCCATCACTGATTTGTTTTCAGAAACCTGTCTCTTTTTTTTCTTTTGGAACACAAGTGTTTTGTTTGCTGGCTGGTGGTGCCTGTGGCAGCTGTTAATACACAACTGGCACCAAAACTGGTCAGTGTTTCACTGGTGCTGCCTTGTCAGGAGCCTGTTGGTGATCACACCATCAGTTTCACAGATGGGTGCTGCTTGTTCAAAGCCTTCAAAACTGGGAAACGTTTAGCTAATGTCTTGCACTGCATAAAGAGATCAAAAAGGTCCAAAAGCTATCTGTTAGTCTTCTGCTACAAGCAATTAGGATGATACTGAATCCATCTCAGACCACGTAGTAATAAATATTTTAGCCTGCCTTTAAGTGTGGATTGATATTCAGGTCTGCCTGCTGGTAAATAAAACAATCAGAACTAAATTTCTCTTTGAATCCGGGCTATTCTGCATTTACAGTGCTCACAGATTTTTTTTTCCTTCTCTTTCTGCCTGTCTCTCTGATTTTGTCTCCAGAGAAAATGATTGTCTGCCTGGAAATCAAGTTATAGTGCTAACTGACATAGTGGCATGTTATATGTGGAGAGGGGACCAGACTGGCAGTTTGCTGGGATCTCCTGGGCTTTGTTTGCCTTGGCCAATATAGAACAGGCTGCAGCCAACTTTGTATTTAATCAGGGGTGAATTCTGAAAAAAACCCAGCAGATCATGATATAGGAAGCTGTATATTTATCTCAACATCTCAGTGGGTATTTTTATGTTAGGTCCTTTGGTCTTGCTGCCTTTCCTTACATGGATCACAGTGTGCATTGGAAAATGAAAGAGATCAAATTGTCACCAAATTCTTTTCTTATTCTTTGCATCCATATGTGTAATATAAATGCAGTTCATTTTCAAACCCGGTCACATATGCTCACTGTGCATTTGTAACCCTGTTTGATTATAAATTAGCAGGCATGGATACCATAGAAGACTTTACCTCATAAATCAAAGCAGCAAAGTCATTCTAGCCCCCAGACTCCTTTTTTTATTATATTGATGCATAACTGTGGTACCAAAATCTCTCTAAAGTTGCATCTAAAGCTTTTTTTTTTTTTTTTTTTCCCTGGAGATTAGAGATGTAGTTGGTCTCTGAATATAATCAGAAAATATGTTGAAATAGTTCTATGGCCTAATATAGGGAAATATCAACTCTCTAATGTGTGAAGGCAGCCTTGAGGTACCTCTTAGTGTCAGTTCCAGTGATGATAATAGCCTGAAAATCAGTTTCAAAACATGATGTGGTGACTTCCCTGAGTTTTTAGTATATTTAGAAAGGTTCCATTTACACATACAGTTGCAGTTGTCTTCCTCAAGTGAGTAATCACCACAGCTGATTTTGTTGACCTTTTCTCATCATAAGGTGAGAAGAATTTGCCTATGTGAACAAAAAAAATTATTTAGCACAACAGGGCATCTCATTGCCAACAATCCTCTGAGTAGAATTATCATATACAGCCACATATGTGTTGTTCAACAGGATTTAAAAATATTTTCCAACTCTCCAGCATCTGTTACTGTTTTCTTTAGCAGCACAGGTGTCTAACAGTGTCAACATGACGAAGATCTAGACAGGTTGGTCTGCACTACAAAGTCCTACTGCCATGGCTGTATCAGCTTGGAGTATGACAACTTCACACCTTGCACTTCACATTGCTGTGCTGGCAAAACCCAGCAGAAGATGACTCTCGTTGCCTTTGTTCAGGGGCTGGTGTAGCTGTGCCAGCAGTGATACCTCTCCATCAGCATATGCTCCATCTTCACCACAGGGTGTAGCTGGGTAGCACAGGCTCATCAGGGAGTGGCCTTGCCATGCTCATGTTCAGTATTGAGCTTTTCTCAGTTCATTTTATCTGGTTTAAAGGCTTAGGAAAGCAAAATATCCGGGAGGTAGCCAGAACCAGTCGAGCATTTTCACGTGCCTTGGGTGCAGGATGGTGTCCTGTGGAAACTCCATAATGAATAGAGACTGGGAGAGGAGGACTGGGCACACCAGTATCATGCAGACAGTACTTGCACCCCCATCCCAAGCCTTTAGCAGCCTTGGCTCTTTGCAGTCCAGTACAGAGTGAGAGTGCTTCACTGTTTGTCTGCCTCCCCCATCTCTCCAAGAAAGGATCCTTGCACTGCCAGTCCCAGCTTTCTTATGCCCCCTTCTCCTTCTGCTTTTGGTAAAGTTCAACTGAAATTGAGTTCCAATAAGAAAAAAAAAAAGTGCAAGTATTTATCTGCAACAGATTAGCTTTCACCTTTTGCAAAAAAAAAAAGAAATTAGTGTCTTGGTTTCAACTAATTATTTCATCTCCCTTGGTAATCCCTGGGGAGGGACAGTACATCCTACACATCCAAGTACACAAAACTGGTTGTGTTGTGCCTGAGACAGGCTCTATCTGTATTCGACTGCAGAGACAGTCTAGATAACTGATATATAATCCTCAGGGTCCAGGAAGGAAACTGAAGGTCACAGGGATTCTTCCCCCAGAGGGTGGTTGGGCACTGGAACAGGCTTCCCAGGGCAGTGGTGACAGCACCAGCCTGACAGAGCTCAAGAAGTGTTCAAACACTTTTCTCAGGCACATGGTGTGATATTTGGAGCTGTCCTGTGCAGGGCTCAGAGTTGGACTCAATGGTGTTTGTGGATCCCTTTCGACTCGGGCTGTTCTGTGATCTGAAACATCCTCATCTGTTACCGAGTCTCACCAGGCTTCACTCATTTCCCTTTTCCTTTCAGGCCAAAAGAGATTAAAGGACCTATTTCTTATGTTCAGTCCCAAATAAAAAGCTGTTCTCCAGAGGTGTGTGCTTGTCTTCATATCACAGGGAATATGCTGTAGCTGATTTTTATATTTGTCAACTGGGAAATAACTAACCCCCATCCTAAACATCACAGGAGACCTTAAGGGATGGATAACATTCATCCTGGTCTGCCAGGTCAGGGTGTCTGGAGGAGTGGAGAACAGCATCAGCCACTGCAGTGCCAAGTGTGTCTGCTTAACTACATCAGCCTGGCCTCATGAGGCAGCTGGGCATTGAGTTGTTACCTCTCTGCAGCTACTTCAAGTCACATATCAGCATCATGAGGGTACATTCAGCAGGTTTTCGGGGTGCTCTGTAGGCTTTGGGGTTCTTTGTGTGTCTGTGGATGTTGTGGTGAGGAGGAGAGACTTGTCAAAGTGGCAGAATATCTTGAGTTCTTGTGTGGTTCACGTGGGAAGGGTTCACCATGGTAAACTCCTTCCTGTAACTCACAGCTTGTGTTTGACTTCTGGATCTTCTGCTTCATGATTTAGTTTCTTGTATCTACCCATCCTCTGCCACTATAAAAATAAGGAAGTGTGGGCAGTGCTGGCGTTTAACGGTTGAAATTATTGTTTTGCATAACTAGAGCATAACCTTGGGAAGTAATTTCCATACTTATTAAGGAAAGAAGGTAATTGGTAACTTCTCTTGGCTTTCTCACATTTTCTGTCCCAATCATGAAAGCATGAGCCTGTGTGAGTAAGCACTGGTCTCTTGCATGTTCCTCACAAGAATAATTAGTAATGTTTCATCAATTACCCTTTGCAGTTTTATAAGAGGTTAGTTTTCCCAAGTAAACTATTTTAAAGGCTTTTTGTAAAAGTGCTTCTTCCATATTTTATGGCTCATTATATTTTAGCTCTTGCTACCCTTTTTTAAAGCTGTATCTACTAGAATTTAACTAAAGAGTACTTCATTAAAAATGGAAAGAAACCTGAGAGCTTCCATTGTGCCATGGGAATG